TCTTCTGGAAGGATGGTTACAAGAGGTTCTTTTACATAAGTAAGAGCGAGGTCGTTGTCTGCGGTTTGCAGTGTATTCTGTTTCTTTTTTGGTATTTTGTCTGATATTGGCGAAGCCGAGCGGCCGCGGTTGGTATTCTTTCTTTCTGTTTTTTTGGGCATTTTTTGCAAAAAGGGAGAAAGAGTTTTAAATTCAAAATTATTTATAAAAATGGAAATACTATATAATATATGCATTAATTTTCTATTTTTAGTACAACTTGTGCACATGACTTTTGGTCTAAATTTTATATACTGCCTGTTTCAATTTCTTTTATTTTAGTTATAGTTACATCTAAATTATTTGGGCTATTTCTTACTATTATTGTCATAATATGTGAAATTAATCCTTTAATAAATTTTCTGATAATATATTGTCTAAATCTTCCTGCAGTATCAACTCGTTAAATTAACATCTTATATTTTTGGATATAATCAGCTACGCTTTATCCTGATTGTTAACGAATTAATTCTAAGTCTATTATCCAATTATTTTTCATAGTAACATTAGCGAAGTAATTTAAGAAATAATCAGTAAAATTATATTGACTTCCTTGTAAACATCTCTTAAGTATCCTGTAAAAATAGCTATTTTCCTATCGTTATTCTATTGATTAGCTGTGACTGCTTATTCAAAAGAAGCAAATCATTTATAAGGGTCTTCATTATCAGTTTCATAAAAATAATTGGATTTAACTAGATTTAATTCTGCTCTATAATTTGATGTTTTCAAAAAATCAGTTTAATCATGATATTAATATTTTAGATAAGTAAAAATCAGAATAATAAAATAAATGAAGATTTAATAGATTTTTTAATATGGATATAAATTAAGTAATAATTCTTGGTTTTTATCTATTTTTAATATAAAACAAGTTAATAAATTACATTATAAATTAATAAAAAATCAATAAATATTATTTAGATACTTTTTATATTTATAAATTAGTAAAGTCCATAATTATAGAATCTATAAATCATTTAAAAAAAGTCAATATATTATATTTTAAAACAATAACACTCTCATTTAAAATAAAATTTACCAGAATAATCTGCTTCGATCTTTTTTAGAAGTCTACTCGTATAAATTGCTTTGGGATGTGTTTCATTTGAAAGATAATTGGTAGATGAATCAAGTAATCCTTCGTTAATGTCAGATGCTTCGTGAGTTTGTTTACAAATCAATGAATTGAAATCACCAAAATAACTATCATTTAAGTATTTTAATGAATTGCATAAATTTTCTGCATCGGGACGTTTTGAAGGATCCGCATCCCAGCAACGTTGAATCAGATCTAAAATTAGCTGAGGAATTACATAATTAGAACTTGGTCTCAATCCTTCACAAATTTTTACGGCCAAGAAATTTTCATGAGCCATATCAGAATAAGGAGCCAATCCAGTCGCTGCTTCATATGCTATAATTCCAAATCCATAAATGTCACTCTTTTTAGTATACTCATTTCCTCTTAATACTTCCGGAGCTACAAAGGGTAATACACCAAATATTTCCTTATTATCACTTGGTTGATTCGCTGGTCTGCACAATCCCAAATCAGTAATATAAGTTTTCATATGATCATTTATTATATTGCCGCTATGAAAGTCATGATGAATTAAATTATTATCATGAATGTCTTTAAGACCCTGAGCAATATCAAATAAACTCTCCAACTTCCTCTTCCAACTCATTGAATAAAAATGATCATTTAAATGCTTTCTTAAGCTTCCTGTACGCGCATACTTCATTACCATCGAAAAGTTGTTAGTTTTTGCATCTTTAGTAATACCATAGAATGGAATTATACGTTTCGAAGCGTTCATTTTAACATGTGTATCAATCTGAAAAAAAAAGGAAAAGGTATCTTAATAATGAGTAATTGTAGGCATATTACTTATCGATGCTTTTCATCATCTTACCTCTCTTAAAAATTCAACCGTAATATCTTGTGAATTATGTAAACATTTTAAAACAACTAAGGTTTCACCATCTCTCATCCATTGATCATTTTTATAATCCCAACCAAGTATACATCCATCCTTCCATTTTGAACTATAAGTGATTCCAAATCCACCTTCTGTCAAATATTGAGTGTTTTCGAATTGATCAGATTCAATCCATTCTATTGCTTCTTTATGATTTCTTGCTCGGAGTTGTGCTTTTTTAATAAATTCATCAATGTTACGATTCCCACTAGTCCAATTTTTGAAATTTTGTTGAAATCGTTTAGCGTTACATGGCTGACACCAATATTGAAGACCATAATGACTAGTATTAGGTTGCTTACATCCTTCACATAAGCCATAACTTTTATACCGTTTTTTTAACTCTTCATTTGTTATTAGTTTATCAATTAACATATATTGCCTTTTATCCAGGCTCCTATGATCAAATTTTTTTATTTTCTCATATACAACATCACTGATTATAGCGTCTTCCATATTGAAGAATTACAAAAAATTGTAATTTTAAATACCACTTTCTCAACGAGTTGCATATACTGTCGATCCGGCCCGATATCTATATATATGTCGAGTACGAAAATCCTGTTTATTTTGTTTCATTCGAATGTCACCAATCAAACTGTCTATGAATAAATTCATTTCCTTTGTTTAATTTCAAGCTTCACTAGAACATGTAGTATTGAAAAGGTCTATTTATATACACGTTAGTAATGATAATGGTTCGTCAAGTTCGTTGTAAGAAAATACACGAGCGGTTTATCTGAAAGGAAATTTCTCAGAAACAATGTAGATAATGGTATTACTCATATATGCGAATTTATTTTTCAATTAATGTAAAATTTAGTTTTATAAAGGATCTTTATTTTCATATTCTAATTCTTCAAATTCTTTTGTCCATTGTCTCATTAATGAAGTATATTTTGTTATGACTTCTTTTTGTTGTACGATAGTTTGTTGTAATCCATGAATTTCCTATAAAATTAATTATAAATTAAAAAAAAATATATAAATCAAATTGAACAAGACGTGTATTATTATTATTAATGTACCTCTGTTAATATAACTTCCTCGGTTTGTCTCTCGGAATAAATGATTTTGGTTAACTCAATTTCCATTTGTTTGGCCACGCTTAGAAACTTGTGTGTTTGATTTTCAATTACTTTTCTCAAAGAGAGAATAATAATTAATAAAAAAAAAATTTTTTTTAAAAAAAAAAAAAAAAATGTTATTTACGTTTCGCTTTTATTGTGTCCGCTTCTTTATTATATACATCAGGATATTCGTTTTTTTTTAACTGATCTAAAGTTTCTTCCTTGATATCCGGTATTATCCTTCTTAGACATGAGTGTAATTCTGTTGACAATTGGTCCAATAACGTGTGTAATGAGGAGGGTGAACTTGCGTTTGACATCTTTTTCCCATAAAGGTGTAAAAGAAATAATTTTGTTGTGAGGATAAATATAGTAATTGAGGTCCCGGTTATTTATAAATGCCGGGTCATTTTATTATCACTTTTTAATTTTTAAAAATTTTTTAAAAAATAATGGTTTTTAAAAAAAAAATGGCAATACATACCGGATGTCTCATTCGTGTATTATTTGTGTTATTGGTAGTGTTTTTCTCAATATACTTTTTATCTTCCCCTCTCACGAATATCAACAATGAATCAACTTTAGATAAAGTTTATTCGCCATTAGATCTACTTGAAGCGAGTCGTAGACGTCAACAAGAATTAGAAACCGCCTTAGAAGAAACTCGTATAGAAATAACCGATAAGCTTAATAAATTCTCTTTTCATTCTTCAATTCCAGGTTCAAATATTAAAACAAGTAAAGACTTGTTAAAATTTAGGAGTTATATGGAATGCGTTACAACAAAGGGGAAATGGGTTTATGATGATACACCGAGAGTTGTCCTCATACATAAACAAGATCCCCTTTATGGAAAATGTGATAGTGATTTTACTCCTTTAAATAAGAATTCTTCGATCGAAGAGATATGGAATAATGCTAGAAATTCAATAAAATATAAATGGAAAACCCCCAACGAATGCCCTTTACCAAGTTTCAATAGAAAGGATTATTGTTCTTTGATAGCCGGTAAAAAAATTTTAATAGTAGGAGATATATTGTCACATCAACTTCATGATTTATTAATAGATTATTTTCACGATGGACCTGTTCAATGTTATGGTGTGAGATCATGTAAGGATCATATTTTATGCCCTTCTCCTTCTGATGATGATAAATTATCCTCGGTAATGAGATACGCTCGTAATGATATATTATCTGGTAAAACTGCTGAAAATCTTGGTCGTCTTGAAATGAAATTTTTAGAACAACCTTGGACTCTTTATGTTTCTCGTCACAATGTGATTATCCTTAATAAAGGACACCATTATCAAGATGATGCAACCTTTCGTTCCTCATTTATACAAATAGTTAAACATCTTCGCTCGAAGAACCCAGATACTCTCTTAATCTTCAGATCGTCTACGATAGGACATTCAAATTGTAATGTTCCAAACATTAAACCTTTATTTAATCCTTATAATGATTACGAATTGGAGCATTTACCTTATAATTGGGGAGAAATACATAAACAAAATATGATTGCTAAAGAAATTATTGAAGCTGTTGGTGGGGTTTATTGGAATATAGAAAATGTTATGGAAACTAGAGTTGATGATCATGTCGGTGGTCGAGATTGTCTAAGATGGTGTATACCTGGTCCTTCTGATATTTGGTTAAATTTATTATTTGTCTTATTTAAAGAATTATTAAATCAATAATTATCATTAAATATTTGTAAAAATAATGATTATTAATTAATATTATGCTAATAAAAATAAGAAAAAAAAAAAGAAAAATATTAATATATTTCTAGTCTCGTTTGGCAGACTCAACTCTCACTAATCCTAATGTGCCGCCTGATACGATCCATGATCCAGCTTTGATATTTGGATTCCATGAGACCTAAATAAAAAAATATATATATAAATAAGCGTTCCGTATTAATATTTCGAAGATTCCATTAAATACATTATGCTAATCTTACTCGTTGAATAGCAACTTCAGGCATGAAGAAGTGACTGAATGCCTTGTTGTTCATGAATGTGGTTGTCGTTTCCTTTTTTTGTGCGAATCAATCAATTCTTTAAAAAAATAAGACACTTTTCATTAATGACAAATTATAAATGTGATAAATTTCTTACCTCGGATTTAATATTATCCCAATACCTAATGGTTTTCATATCTTCTTCAATCCCGATACGGTATAATGTAACTTGAATTGGTTTCTAATTATAAAGAAAAGGTACGAAAAAAAAATATTTTTTTGAAATCAAGAAATTATGACGCAAAATTTCATCTTTTACCTGATGTCTATCTCTTAAACGGCAAATATTCGTCATTTTTACTGTCCCATCTGATGAACAACTCGCAACAAACGGATGAAAATATGATGCTGCAATCCTCTATTAAATTTTCATATTTAAATATATATATATTTTTTGATTCGCTCATAAAGTATTATTTTTCTTTCAAATTACCCAAACAATAGCATGATGCATCATAACCCCCGTAGTCTTTTTTAAATCTTCCATTCGAATATATCTCACTGTATTTTCAGTATCTGCGAATAAGACACCACCATAATGATTTGGCCAACACGCTGTCATTAAATATGCTATGAAAGAAATAAAGAAATCTCCTCAATATTTCGAACAATTAGATAAATTGGATTAATAATATAATTTGCTTAAGGATAATACCTCTGATCCGTTGAAAATTATTTTTGACCCATGGATCACGATCGTCTATAATTTGTAATCGACCATCATGTCCGCAGCTCATAATGTGACTAGGATTTTGCATAGAATTCCATGATACCTGACGAACACACGAGTCATGCGCACGAAAATATTGCATTGGTGATGTAACTTTTTTTTTTTTTAAAAAAAAAAAATTATACGAATGAATAAAAATGAAAGGTTAAGAATAAATTTCCGAAATATTAAATGTTCGTTAAATACTTTCTGAATTTCTGATTTCCCCTTGAGAAATTTTTTCTGTTAAAATTTCTTCGATGTTCCATATGGCAATATCACCTTTTAAATAATGTAAATTAAATTTGTTTTTCAAATAAAAAATACTCGAACTATTATATGATTTGCATACCATTCGTACATCCGGTTGCAATCTTTCTATGACCACCCCAACTTAATGTCCAACACATAACTTTTGGCAATGAAAAGGTGTATAATGGACTCGTAAATTTTACTAAATTAAAAAAAAAACTGTTATTGCGTGCTAAACTCGTTTTGATGTAAACATCATGACAAAGAAAAGAAGACGATTACCGAATAATGTTTCGTCTGGTGATAAATCAAATAATTTTCTGATGTTTTTAGGTTTAGGAATGGCGAATATTCCAATACTACCATTACCAAAAGAAATTGCAATGATACCTAATTTCGGTATAAAGATATTTTGTTGATCTATCGCATCCTATTCATGTGACATGTTAATAAAATTTCTGCTTTTAAATAAAATATGATGAACTCAACTGACCTCCAATTTATCATAAGCTCCATAAGGACACCATTGTAAATCAAAAGCACAACCAAAATCATGACATAAAACCATCTCTAAATGCGGCGATTCGGCGACGGAAATATCTAAACCACAATCGATTTTCCAAATCTGTATCGAATTATTCAAATTATCTCTTTGCCGTTGTCCGATTGTGTGGTGTTCATCTATAGTAGATTTATACCCTCCTATGGCTAAATACTGCTCTCCTTTACGAATAATTCATTACATTTTTTTTTTTTTTTTAAAAAAAAAAAGTTAGATTTAATATTAACTTGGTATCAATAAAAATATATATGGGTTGATTGCTAGGAAAATCAGGTTCCGGGAATTTTTTAGCAAAATTGAGATTTTTATTGCATTTTAGTTTTTGATGTTATTAGATTAAAATGTATTAAGCTCTTAATTTAAGTCAAAAATTTCTCGGAACCTGATTTTCCTAGAAACACTCCCAATATAATATATATTTACTTTCAGATGATACGTTTGGACACCAATCCATTGCCCAAACTGATCCACCAACGTTTAATATATGCCCTAATTTCTTCGGAAGCTTCTCATCTTGAGAATTACAACAAAACAAAATTTGATTAAAATTAATTCAAAAAAATGAAGATGATGAAAAAGGTTCAACTTCTTACGAATGGGATATGTTTCAAATTGGGGGATTTGAACTGGCATAGAATTTCCTATTATGATAGAAGTTGGAACCTGTGAATGCGGAAGATATGTTTTTCCAACACTAAAATAGATATTGTAAATATACTTCAATAAATACTTGAAATGATTACTGCTTGAATATTATGGTGAAAGTTTATTCTGATTCCGGACCAATTCCGGGTAACACTCACTTCTCTTGCAGTAGTTCAAAATCAGTCGGTTTAATTTTAATGGATTCGTAAGCATTCTGAGGCAAAGACTCGAAAACTATTCCTACAGGTTGTAAGAATTGAACTTTTGGTCCAAGCACAATGTCCTCCCATTCGTCAAAAAAGACTTCACCAACATCACCACGACTCATATAAACATGTTTCCTTCGTTTTGATTGAGGTTGGTCATACATGTCGGCCATTTTCAGCTGAGACCCTTTGAAATTGCCGAAAATATTTTGACGCGTCAAACTTTGTTTGATTTTGTATTACAAGTGATCGAATGATCGCCATCGATCTTTTTTTTTAAACTAAAAAGGAATTTATTTGTTTTTTTTTAGTACAATGAGAAATGAGAAATTTGATATTATAAACCTTTTTATAAGTCTCCTGATGTATCACATTTGAATGTTTTATTCTTTTTTGTAGAATTGTTGTCAAAGAGATAGGAACCGTAAAGTCAGTGGAATTGCTACAAATGGTACAGGAAATATTAAAAGAGTTGGAACAAAGCATTCAAGTATTTTAAGTTTACACTGTATTGCGCATTCTGTGAAATTTATTAACTAAAATATTATTACTATATAGGATATAGGACATTATAAATTAGACGTGATGAAAACATCTCAAAAGTCAGGAAATATAAAAAAGATGGTAGACCTTTATAACATGTCAGCATATCAATGGAAAATTTATTATTAAATAATTGATCCAAATGGATTAATTTATTTAGTTATATACGGTCGAGATTTTTTGAGAAAAGCCCTTATACATGCCGATTTGAATTTCAACACAGTTTATGTTGTTTGTGCCATACGTTTGAATAATTAAAGAGTTTCGTGGCTCAATCGAAGTTTGATCCTTTTTATTATATCGAATTGTTTTCATCATAAGTAATTTTATTTGATATTATTTCATTCTTCTATTTATAACAACTTCATTGTAAATAAACCCACGTCATCATTCTTTCCATAAACGTATTTATTTATAAAAGTTTTTCAACTTTCATTTATTGTTGTTCTTTCCGTTCGACCGAGTTTAATGAGTTTCCAAAAGGATATACGTCATTGGAGGAAAATGCGCGTGATCTAAAATTCATATTGATTTGAGATGTTGAAAAAATTAATTTTACGAATAAAGTTTATTAACACGTTTCGGTCACTAAACGGGATGGGACTTCCAATGATCCAATGATAAGAGGTCATACACAAACAATTAATGAATATAAATAAGTTCATTATAACGCGTTCTCTCTTCTCAAGGAAAACAAGTTTGTAAAAGATATTTCCTCCCTTGTTTTTTTTTTTCAAAAAAAAAAATAATAAATAAAAAAGAATATTTTATAACTAAAAAAAAAAAAACCTTTTGTACTTATTTAGCTTTGCTAAAAAAAAAAATTTAACGATGGAGCCAACATCGACCCATTCTACTAGCTCAAACAACGAAAGCCTCAGAAAGACTCAGTCCAATTCTAGGATTATTAAAGATAGTAATTCTGTATTGAACAGGTAGACTTTATTTTTATTTTTTTCTTTTTCCTTTTTTAAATCAATGATAAAGTTTTGTATAAGATCTCAAGCATACTCAAAAAAATTTTTTGTTGAAATGAATAACATTCCATCCCATTTAACAGGTTAAAAAGTGAACTCAAGCAATTGATGGTAATTAAGACATAGTAATAGTTCAGCATGTCTGATATAAAACAATAAAAGTTGATTTCTTATCCAAAAAAAAAAAAAATTTCTTTATCCGATAGTTTTCACAACCACCCGGAGTTTCGGCTTTTCCCGACTCGGACAATTTATTTAGTTGGGTCGGATCGATAACGGGACCAGAAGGAACGGTAGGTGGATCAATTTATTTCTAATTTGCGCGTTACTTCTCATGAATTTCAAAATCAAATCAAATCAAATCACATAGATATATGAAGGTTTAACTTACAAGATCATCATGAAGTTTCCGTCAGACTATCCATTTTCGGCCCCGTGTGTTCAATTTCAAACACGCTGTTATCATCCAAATATAGATGAAATCGGTAACATCTGCCTAGATATCCTCAAGGTTGTTTTTAACCCCCATTCATTATTATTTCGTTTCGTATCAATTGAGAATAATTGTTAATTAACGTTTTTCATTGGTGGAATCTATATCATAGGATAATTGGTCGGCCATTTATAATGTGACTAGTATCCTTGTTTCTTTACAAAGTCTTCTTGGAGGTATTTACCACATAAATGATTTGATTTGACGATTATATGATATTCCAACAGAAGGTCATTAATTTGTGTATCTCATGTTTAGAACCTAATATTGATAGTCCATTAAATAACGAAGCTGCGGAACTCTGGGCTAAGCCAGAAGGTAATAAATATTCGCTTGATTATTTCCCAGTTAACGTTTCTTTTTTTAACATGATTTTTATGCTTTTTTTTTTTTTTTTAGTATTCAAGAAACAAGTTATGAAATGGGTTAAAGAGTCAAATAAGGTGTAGAGATTCTGTGACAAAAATAATGAGAAACAGTAATGAACAGGTACCCTTCTACAACTTTATAATGATAACCAATAATTCTTTAGTATAAGCACTAATTTTTTTTTATGGTACTTTAAAAATTTTAAGTAGGATTTAATTAAATATATTCAAAGACATTATATCAACTCTATGTAATTATTACATGGATCATTTTTTATTTGCAAATTACAATCTTTAAATAAATAATAATTTCATCCCAGATTTATATTTCAACGTATCCGAGACCATCTTTTATATGTGCTGCTTATTAAACCAGTTAGAATTTACGTGTCTTATATCGGATGATTTAAGGTTATCCAAAATCAAGAGTTAAATCAGTACCAACGTTTAAAATAATTTTTTTATAACAAACGAGTGATAAACCACTAAATAAGTGACGATTTAGCGTTAGGGTATGGTAATTCACATGTCTTACAAAATTATTCGACAATTTATAAATAGATTTTGTTAGATTTTGATTGGGTAAAAAGATTAAATGTATTCAGTAAAAATAAACTAGTGTGCTGATATAAATACATCATGCCTGGATTATTAAGTATTTCCTCAGGAATGGGCGCGTCATAAATTTGTTTCGAAGGAATTACAATGAGTGATACAAAATTAGAGTAAAAGAGGAAATTTCATTATTTCAAACTGATATTCTTAATTTTATTTCTTTTTATATATTTACAATGATTAATAATAAAATAAGTATATCATTTGGTGTTACGGAAATTACAGTTCTAATTAATGCATCTCACCATTACGTAATTTTAATATTAAAAACTGGTTAGGTTTAAAAAAGTGATGTATTTATGATTGTAAACGCTAATTTTAAATTAATGGTTTTAAGGGTTACCTGGTTTCATTTGACAATGTATGTATTGTGATTCTTATTTGTTGAACCAGTGAATGTGTGTGTGTGAGTATCGAAGAACGTGATTGGTGAAATATCGAAAATAGTTTATTTGTTTTATGGAGTACCCTCAAGGTTATAACATAAAAAAAAATTTCTTTTAAAATTATTTAACAGGGGTGTCAGTGTTTGACTTATTTATTTTGATTTTGTTTGTTTTTTTTCTTTCTTTTAATAATGTCAATAATACACCAAATAAAGGTTCAACCTTTTATTGATTGGTGTAAAAAAACTGGATCCGAATTTAGTTCTTTTAATCATTATTATCAAAGTCATTAAAAAGATTTCATTTTAATAAATAAATATGTATCAAATCAAATAATAATGATTCACGAGAAAAGGTGTTCGGAATTATTTAACAAGAAATCTTTTTTATTTCTTAAAAAAAAAAAAAAAATTTGTAAAAAAGATGATTAATGTTTTTCTTTTTTTTTTGTGTTCCTTTTTTTTACCGCCAAAAATCAAAATCGACGTCCCGGCAAATCCGATCACCGCATTGCAAATCGATTAACGTGACAACTTTCATTTTAAATTTAAATGAAACATGTTCAATTCTATTATATAATCTTTTAAAAACTTTTTTTAAAATGAAAAAAAAAAATAAATAAAAAAAAATAAATATATACCATATTAATTGAAAATAAATAATATACGTTTAAACAAATGTGGAAAACAAGAAAGTTTCGGGTAGAAGGTTATAAATTCACTACTAAATTCTCCGAAATAAAAATTTCGAAAAAACCCATTTTTTTTTTCTTTTTTTTTTTCAAGTATACACTATATTAATTATTAACGCTGTGCGTTTCTGTGTTAAAACATTAAGGTTCACCCAGTCAGGAAAAAGTGAAACCACCCAATTAATCCATTAATCTTTTTTTTTGAACCTGTAATTCTGGCAAAGTCATTTAATTCGTGTAACGATCATTTCAAATAAAAAATTTACAAAAAAAAATTTCGGGTTATTAAAAATTTTTATCTCGTATCACCACCTCAAAAAAGAATAAATTGATTTAAAAAATTGTTTATGAAATAATTTCTTATGAAATTTTACGCCTAAACTTCTTTTTATTCACTTTCAACTTGGGTAAAAAAGGTATGATGTATATTTATTTATAACCCCCAAAAAAGAAAAAAAAAAATCGTTTTCTTGTTCGCTAACTGCAGCCTCTTTTTTTTTTTTTGCACCTTTTAAAACCAAAATATTAGTGGGTTATCCCGCCTTTTCCCTATCTTACATTTTTCCTCGTCTCATAAAAAACCGTGACGTCTTCTTTTCTTTGTTAAGCTTTGTATCCTTTTTCTTAGCCGACTTTGGGAAAAAAAAAAGAAGAGAAAATTTCCTACTTTCCACGTTTCATATACATACTTGTAATATCCAGTTCCGCATACAAACTACAAATATAAGTTTGTATGCTATAAAGATACCTACAAGTCATCTATGATCGTCTAGAAACGTAAGAGAAACCTATTTCAAAAAAAACAAATACCACGAAAAGTAATTTATTTTCTTTTGCCCTTAATTCAAACCAAATTTTCTTTACTAAAAACAGAACCCTACGTTGTAAAGTTGAATAAATAAAATTAACGTCACAACAGCTCCAACTGCTGTAAAAAAAACCTTTTCCCCTTTGCGAAACTCATTGAAGTTTCGCGTTAATAATCCTTTTTGTAAACTTTTAACATCGGTCGCTTTGCGGCTTCGACAAGCCTTTCACTCTTTAGGAAGTGTGGTCACGCATCCACGCTCGCATATCAGACAATTGTGGAGTTCAGTTTTCGGACAATATCAAAAAAATTCAAAGGATATGTCACAACCTAACACAGATCACATACCTTCATCATCTTCACCTACCCATCATTGGATCACTGATGATGAGGATGAAGATCAAAAAGGATCATGTACGACCCCTTCAAAAAATACTGCAAAGAGATATGCCACTTATGAATTAAATTGGCAAGATAACAATAGTTCCGATTATTTCGATTGTGATTCAAATGATGACATACCTGATCATAATATTAATTCACAAAATAATGGCACCCCCGTGGATGATTCCGTACAGCCTGCTAGATGTTCATCACCTAACACGTCACCCCTTACAATTCCATCACCTTCCGCTTCTCAAGAACCATCACAACAGAATGACCAACCTCGATCCACTTCATCTCATTCCGAGAGTTCAATTCCCCCAATTTCCCCAATCAATACTATGAGTCGACCTGAATCACGTGTCTCGACCGATAATGAACCCCAATCACCATTTGGAGGGATTACGGTAACGACTGTTAAAGTGGTAGAAATCCTCCATAGTCCTACACTATCTCCTAATGAAGAAGATTCTTCAATGAGATCTATTGCTGGAAAAGATGAATCAACCATCCATACACGGTCTAATAATAACAATAACAATATTATTGTTAACAAAAATCAATCAATGAATTCACTTCCTAAACCTTTAAACCTTTCGGCTACAGTACCTGTCATACACGAACATAAACAAAATATCAATAAGTTTTCACCTCCGCAGACGCCACAGCATCAGCCACCATTGCCACAATCACGCGTTAAAGATTTTTCAACCGAAGATTCTAAAATGTTGAAACAGAAAAAACGTTCTTCAATGATTCGTTCTCAAAAAAGTAGAGGGGGCAAAGGGAAGAGTTTTAACACGAATAGTAAACAACCGGCGATCATGATACCAAATGAACAATCATTTATTGACCCAAGATTATTAGCACAACGATCCCCTTTTAGATCTCCTTCAAAAACAAACCGAAGGCAGGTTAAAAAAGGCGGAAATGTTAATAAAAAAAAAATGTCTCAAAAGAATATGGAATTCGCACCTACTTCGAACCCAGTACATTCTAATGATCCAACAGATATGGAGGCTGACTTACTTCCAGTTAAAAACCAAACGTACCCATGGTTACCGGGATCATCCAAACCACCTCAATTACTTCACGCCTCTTTAGTTCCCCTTCCTCGACGTGTAGACCTTGTAGCCAATGCTTCATCTAATCATAATATTAATGATAAGAATAATAGTAATAACAAAAACAAAAACAAAAACAAGAACTACAATAATAATAATAATAACAATCATAATGATAATAATAATAATATTTCACGTTTATTTGCTTCTGTGAATCCTAAAAGAAATTCAAAAGTATTATCTTCCAATCCTAATCGTTTATCACGCGTTAATCCTCAGAGGAAGCGCGAGTCAATCATTGTACCAAATCCAAATCGTGCGTCCTTAGTATTTAGACGTCACATTTTAGAGGAAAGTTTGATGATGTCGTTTGGTGGAATGGTGGGTAATGTTAATAGTAAACCACAACCTCCCCAAATATCAAGACCAATTATTAAACGAAAAACCAAAAAATGTAGCAATGCCAAAGTAGAAGATAGAGAAGCAAGACGAGAGAGACGAAGAAAAGAAAAATTGGAAAAAAGATTTGCCGAAGAAGCGTCAAATAATAGCAATAATGTAAATGTTCAAATAGAAGGGGTAAAATTAGAAAATAAGAATGGTGACGAAATTGTCACTAAAACTTTAGAACAGAATAGAATTATAGAATATCAAGAACTTGCTGAAAAAGTTGAAATGCGTAAGAAAGAAAACCAATCTTCACCGAGTAAATCATCACAAGATACAACAATGAGCGATTATTTTTCACAACGAAGATCTAAAGATGATGTTTCATCATCACCACCAGAACGAAAAAAGGATGATGATAGCCCACATTGTGAACCCCCAATCAACAAACCGCCTCATTTAGTAGCTCGTTCGAACTCCCTTGAACATATTTTAAGTAAGGAAATGTCGAAACGTAAACAACCACCATATTCCCCGCCAAATTCACCACCATCGCCCGTGTCACGCACCCCACGTCCTATTCCTTTGGAAGAAAGTGAATCGGATTCATTTCAACCATTGCCTTCTCCAGTTTTGACTTCAAACAAATATCAAAAAGTTGGAATTAATATTCTAGGTGGAATCTTTAATAAACAAACAGTAAGGGATGCTACAAGCCCACCAGTTTCGCAAATGAGTTCGCCTGTATTACATCAAATGCCATCTCCTTTATCACCAAGATCGCCATCCGCACCAATTCCGTTGATATTGCCATTACGTTCACCTATTAATAATCCACCACAATCTCCACCATTAAGTCCATCAAGAACTTCGAGATTCCCACAACAGTTGCCACGAATTGTAAGACCTCGCCGTGGAGTTGAAAATGATCCAAGCAGTCCTCCCGCTATTCCAGATCCAGAGAAATTAAGAAAGATGGAAAGATTTGAAGCTTTAATTGCTAACTCAGAAATGTCGAGTAGTAAAAAACCAATCACTGGAAAAATAAAAGCCCTAATTTCAAACACTTCTACAGTTGTAACGACTGCTGCTTCCTCTTCTAGTATCACGAATTCTAATCCTAGTATTGGTGTCCCTTTAAATTCTAATTTTCTTGGACGTTCAAGTGAAACTAATTCAGAATCACAAAAAGAGAATAGGCAAAAAGATTTAGCTAGAAACTCATCATCGACCAATTCTGTAGCCGGATCTGTTCATTATAGACCAGAGGAAAAAGCAAAATTAGGAAAACCAAGTCAAGTAGATGTTGATGGTGTAATAAGAGTGACATTAACTCCGGCAGTTTGTCGATGATGAGACCAAAAGTAATCGAGTAAATTTTATTTGATTATTATTTATTTATTATTTTTTATTTAATTATTTTTTTTTTTTTTTTTAATGTATATATGTTTCCTGTAATTATGTATCTTCATAATGGAAGTCTTATAATTGATATAATGTTATTTGATCTGATCAAATTTGTTGTCTTTTATTAAACAGTTCATTCGAAAACACTTTTGTATTTATTTTTTTCTCTGTCCTTTCCCAAAAGATCGTTAGTAATGCTGACCAGCATTATAAAATGGATCAGTGAGAAAAGATCCGAACAATAAAGATTTTTTCCATTTACAATTGATCGTAAAATTTTAAAAAATTCTCATTCAAAATAAAAATAGTAGATTTAATGCTAAATTAACAAAAAGCCCTCAAAATATTTTAAATACTTAATACATAAAGTATTTTTTTTTAAAATAAATAAAAATAATTGGCGACGCTTGTTACATTTAAACCACTTTATTATGGTCAATTAAAAATCGTCAAAAAAATGATCTTTAACTATGTGCTAAACTTAATTGGTTTTGTCCAAATTTAAATAAAATTAAGCTTGAGACCTATAAGAGTCTTATAAGCCCTGTTTTCAATTTGTTTCAAAACTTTAACCAATCATGTTTGATTCTACAAGTAGTTTGTATAATTTTATATATATTGTCTATATTATAATCATGTGATACACTGAGTTCTATACTGTTTGACATTATTGACAAATATTTGCTTATACGTTTGAAAAAAAAACTGTTAATAATAGTTGATTATATTATATCGACAAAAGGTCATCATTTTTAACAATTTTTCCTCTGAAATTTCTATTTTTTTATTATCGATTTTTTTTCTTCTACATCTACATCTTCATCGACTTGTTGTTCATCTTCAACAATATTATTTTCTGGTTCTTCAGATAAAAGCTGTAGAAAATCATAAGAAACTCTTTGATGTATCTTTTGAATTTAGATAGCTTTTCTTCTATGTGAATGCATCTTGATTATTAATATCTTTGTACATATTTATTTCTACTAATAAAAGACGCCTGGCAATTCTTCTCTTTGTTATAAGTTTAAAGAAGCTCAGTTTTCCTCTATCTTTACTTTTTCTGCTTTTAAAACCTTTGTTTTTCTTCTGATCTTATTTTTTTTAGTTTATGTTTCTAGGAGCTTCAAAAATCTCAATAAATATTATTTTCTTATTGCTTAAAGTTTTCATGCAGACACCATCTACTTATTTAGTATCAAATCAAAATTCGAGAATAACAATTTCATATCTTTGATATATTTAAGTTGAATCTCAATTAGTCAAATTTGTTCTCTCTATAAATGGAATGTATTGCCTTAAACAATAGCACAATTTTTTCTACAATGTATTTTCTCTTTCTAGTATAACGATCTATTGAATCTTTACTAGTTATAAAAAAACTGAGTTCAAGCATTGAGATTAATTTGTTGTTTCAAGAAGTAGTTATATATAGTCTTGAATAATATATACTCACAAGTCATAAAGAATTATCTTACATATCTTTTGAAATCGATATTTGAGGATTAGTGAATCTATTATAGCTCTAATGAATCTATCCTTTTTAGACTAAAAAAGATGTCAAGAGAAGTCATCAATATACGCCCTTACACTTATATCTGAAAAAATGCTTATGCTAACTTACCAATAGTACGTTTATGAGTTAGTTATGAATTTCATCAGGAATTATAGAAATTATGACAACTTGATCAACCTTATTGACCAAATTTTGTTCATTAATGTTCACTAATATATGCTTAGACAAGTATTAGAAAGAATGTTCTATAAACTTTAACTTTTTTAGGGTGATAATATCTTTAATTTCTTTAAAGGATCTTGGAGGTGATGTCTTCAGCTAATAGATAATAACAATTACTTAGAACTCTTAAAGAAAATAGACTATAAAGGTTAACTTATACTATCACTTAAACTTGTATTCACACTTTCTTGAATTCAGCTTCTTTAAAAATATTTGTAGATTGAGTAGATCGTATTTTACCTAGATCAAAAATTGTAAAAGATTGAGAAATTGAAATTCAAAGCAACTTAAATATATTAGTATTGCTCACCTTTTATTGTTTACCCTCAATAAATCTAGAAGATAAGTCTTTTTCGAAATCATTATATAAAATATTAGAAGAAGACTTATCCTTTCTAGATATGTAACCAGGTATAATATAAAATCTTCTTCAGAATTATTATATAAAAAATTAAAAGAAGGCTTTATTTTTTAGATATGTACTCGGGTATGATATTATCAAAATCTATCATTGCTTCTAATGATGAAAATTTAGTATAAATTATTCTGCTGTTTTTTTTAAGCAATATTATGAAAGAGGAAACCTCATTAACAGTTTCACCATATATAATTTCCATAAAATCTACATTGCAAGACAGTTCTTTTTCCATTTTTGTGTAATTATTTTACCTTTACTCTAGTATAAAGAATATTTTTGATTAGTATTGTATCATTTTATATGTTAATAATAATTTACTTAACCTTTCACCCATAAGATCAGCCCAAAACTTTTAACATTAAAACAACCTAACGAGACTAGTATCAGGTCAGCCTAAAGCCTTTAACATCAGAATAATCCTGAAAGTTAACACTGCCTGAATAACAAGACTAAGTGAACTATTTCCTACCTATAATTTTCAAAAAAAGTTTTTTTATACTCACTTCTTTATATTAATTAGCAATAAACTTAAGGTTTGTAATATAATAGTCTAGCTTTTTATTGAATAGCTCTAGATCATAACTATTTAGAAAATTTATAATACTCTAATAAGTAGATTCAAATTAAAATAATTGTGTATTTTTACTGACAAAATTTGAAAAATAAATTAAATGATTGGGCTCATCAACTTATTAAATAATTATTGACATGAGTTTGTGTGACCTACTAGGTATTGTTTTAACTTAATTAGATGATCAACAAAAGGAACATGTAGTCACATACACTAGTTGAACTCTTAACAATGCTGAAAGGAACTATACGCTTACTGAACTTGAATGTTTCGCTGCTGTTTGAGCAATAGAACATTTTAAAATGTACCTCCTTTATCAACCATTTGATTTAATCACTGACCATGCTGTGCTGCAATAGTTATTCAACAAACCTGATCCACCTCATAAATTTATGAGATGGATTGTACGAATCATGAAATTTCCTTATAACATTCACTATCACAAAGGCAAAATATATTAAAATACTGATATCCTTTCTAGATTACCTTCCCATTAAATCTAACATCAAATTAAATTATTTAGAGTGAAAATGAAAGCGTTAGCAGTGTGACTAATAGCTCTAGTATTTAATATAGACATAATTTTATATCAAAACCTTTTCTGATATTTAATCCAATCAAAATACCCTAAATCATCTACACCTACACAATAACTTTCTATACAAAAATAAGCAAAACATTATACTGCTCATAATTACTTTATTTACCAGAAAATTTTCAAAATCCTTCAAACCTTCTCCTTATTATCAAATTAACTGAAGTTAAATCTTTTTTACACAATATTCACAACGAATCTTTCAGAGGACACTTAGAACATGACATAACCTTTAACAAACTAGTACATAAATATTATTGGCCAAAGATGTATGACACAGTAAAGGAATAGGTAAAAACATATGACGTATGCTAATGATAAAGAACACCTCAATGATAAGAGCCTTTACATTCAATTTTAGTTGGACAACCTTTTAACTGAATTGGAATTAATTATGTAGGACCACTATCACAAACTAAGCAAGGTAACAGATATATCATTGTTACTACAAAGTATCTCACTAAATAGGCTGAAGCTGCTGCTGTACTTGATTATACTGCACAAACAATAGCACAGTTTATCTTTCAAGAAATTGTATGTAAATATGAGACTCCAAAAAAAATATTAACTGATAGAGTTACATCATTTTAAAATGAGCTAATAGCTGCATTACTATATATTATTGGGACAAAGCATTGCCTCTCTTCACTATATTACCTTTAGACAAATGAATTAACTGAACGTTTTAATCAAACTTTGTGTACTATCTTAGCTAAATATGCTGAGCAACATCAAGGAGAATAGAACGCCTATTTTTTATCAGTCTTATTCGTATATCGCATAGCACAATAAGGGATAACTAAGTACGAACCCTTTAAGTTACTATATAGATGACATGCTATACTATCTATATATCTTTGAGTATCACAACCCACTACAATGCAAAAGTTGTCACAAACAATAGAACAATATTATTGTCTTTTAACAATACAATTGCAACAATATTAATACGATACACAATAGAATATTTTGTAACAACAGCAAAAATAAAAGGAATGTTACGACCAAATACATAAAAGCATAGATTATCAAATTGAAGATAAAGTACTTTTATTCAATATTTCACGATCACACGTACATGGAAATAAATTTAAGAATAAGTTTGATGTACTGTTCTATATCCATAGTATTGTATGACCTGATATATATAAATTGCAAACATTAGACAGATGAATTAGAAAAAATCTGACGCATGCTGATCAACTTAAACCTTATCTTGAAAGAACCAATTGGGAGCCTCAGATTATCATTTCAGATCAGTAAAATTAATCTTATAAATACAAAGCTTAAACAAACTTAGTTTGTAGGAAAAATGATAAATACCATTATTAACGATTTTATCCTACAAAAATTGCAAAGAGTTCTAATCTAAGACTTACCTCTTGAACCACCAAAATCCTATACCAAGGATATACTTTATACTGAAAGAGTTAAATGTACTTATCAAGTTCTCTTACGAGCACGACATATGAAAAATCATGTTTGAACTTTAATAAACACTTTCTTTTTAGGCGAACTACTAAATAATGACGATATAACACTCGCGTAAAGAACTCTTCAAAGTCAAATAATTATCGCATATTACTATCAATGTTCAACTCGTATTTATTTTCTTTTTAAAAATCTAGGAAGCAAACAAATTCTGAATACACGTTCTTTAATATTGACCTAGATTAGATACCTTAAAACTAAGAAATATCAGAATCTACTTAACTGTATTCAAGAAATTTCTGTTAAAACAGAAATCTTAAGAAAGAAGTAATATAACCAGGTGACAATCTTAACAATTATAGATCTACAATTGTGTGATGAAGTATAAATATTGATAATGTCAAACATATTAACATATCTAATATGTTTAATTTAGCTAATATGTCTAATATATCAGATATGTCTAACATAGTTAATATAATAAATATATTTAATATAATTGATATATTAAATATATCAAAATATGTAATAGAATAAATATAAATACAACCTCTTTTGTCAATTAGAAGAGATAAGACTGACGGCTGTATAAAACCTTTCTCTTGTAAAAGATAGTGCAACGCTACTACGCTACTTTTCACCTTGTGTATCTCTATTTCTTATTTTTTTTTTCTTATTTCTTTCATATATCATTATCTTATTATTTCCTTTTCATTAAATAAAGTATTTCTTATTTCTTATATAAAACTCTTTTTGAACTTATTGTAATAACTTTTAACTTATAATTGAAGCTGTTTGCGTCTAATAAACTTGATTTAATATAATAAATTAGTAGTGAATTAGCTAAGATTATCATAAACTAAAAGAAATTGTTACGTAGACTATAAAAGAGTCAACCCTTTGACACTGCATCTAATAATTGTAATCTGAAAAGATTACACGTTAATAATACTGTAAGTTTTGTTAAAAATAGATTAGTAAAAAAAAATACAAATATTGTTGTAATTTCAGATAGAATTACAACTACTAAATAATGCAATTAATAAAAGTTTTTAAATTTAAGGTAAAATTATTATTATATTACTTTTTAATATATTTTTTTATTTTTTTATTTTATATTAATAATAATAATTACTAAAAGGTGATAAAAATATTACACAATTAAAAATGAGATATTGAGTAAATTTTTCATTTGTAATTGAGCCATATTTTATTAAAAACTTTTTGAATATCTATTGCAATAATAAAATATTTTATTAAATGTTTAATTTAATATATTATAATTCTTAAAATCGAATTTTAAAAAATCTCTATTTTTTAATATTGCATATTATATTTTTGTTAATAGGCTAAAATGGCTATTATTATAGAAAAAAAAAATTGGATCCAGTAACTCAGAAATCATAAATTATATAAAATGTTATTGACTGACCTTATGTGATTATTTGCAGCTTATTAATTAATAAAAATATATAAAAAGCTAACAAGCTGATCCTTTAGCAAAAATTAATAAAATGCGAATAATTGAAAGTAAAAATTTTTTTCAAAATTAATTATTTATTAAAATTTACAAAATTATCTAATTTTTAACTATGTAATATTTTTGTTATCCTTCAATATATTACAGTTAATTCTTGATATAGCAAACTCTTAATATAATGAATTTTTTGAATAAATATAATAAAAATACTCTTATTATAGCAAATTGACCAATCAAATCTCTTAAAATCTTTACTATAGCCTTATAGTGAAAAATATAGAGTTTGTTATAAAAAGAAATGACTGTAATTATTTATAAGATAAAGATTAGTATAATAAATAGATATCATCTACAACTTATAATCTTACTTTTTTTGAAAGAATCAAAAATCTTCTTATTTAACAGTTGCAATTTAGATTAAGGAATCGTAAGATAAAATTGATAATGATCTTATTTATAGATCATTTAAATGTTATAAAATTTCAATAAAAACTAATAGTTTAGAAGATCATTATATATTTGATTATAATCAGTTATCAGATTCAATAAATAATAATAATAAAAATTATTGAAGTAGATGAAGGAGAGAATAATAATAATAAAATATATGTTAAAGAAAACAATTATATAAATAAGTGGAATATTAATGATAATAATAATGATAATGATAAAGAAAATAAAGACAATTAAGATTATAATTAATTCAATAATATAGTCAAAAAATAAAAGTTATTATATTGATATATATTATAATAATTATAGTAATAAAGAGATTTTAAAAGTTTAAATTTTTATATTTTAAATTTTTTTATTTCTTAATATTATCCCTTCAAGTGTTTTGCAGGCAAATTTACCTATAATTTTATTTAATAATTAAAATTATTTATAATAATTTTAAATATTTTTAAAATAATTTATTTAAAAATTAATATTTTTATAATAAATTTTATGATATTTTCTAAGTAAAAATTCAAAAGAAAATGTAATTAATTAGTAATATTTTAAAGATAAATATATAATAAATTATTATAAAAAAAAGTTAGATTTTTAAATTTATATATCTTACTATCTATTGATCTTAAAAATATGAAAATATACTCATTTAATAGATCTTAATGAGATAAATCTAACAAACTAATTTTTTTTTTTTGTAATTATTTGATAATAAGTTATTTTAAAAAATTGAAAAATTGAAAAATTAATATATATTAATAATTATTAATTTTAAAATTTAAAAATATTATTATTAGATATATCTTAATATGACAAATCTAATAAACTTTATTTCATTTTTTTATGATCACTAGATATTAAAATAATATAATTTTTCTATAATATTTTATAACTAATTTATACTTATACTTTAAGGAATACTTTATTTGATTTTTATTTAATTATAAAAAACATATTTATCTAATAAAATTACAATTATAAAATTTTTTAAATTAAATATTTTAAAATTTTTGATTAAATTTATCTAAAACTTTTTATTAATATACTATTTTTATATATATATATTTTTACAATAATATAAATATTAAAATTTTACTTCTATAATTTATTAAGTAAAACTTTATTATAATTTTTTTTTTTTTAAAAAAAAATTAACATATAGATTCAATCAAACAAACTTTGTTATTAATTATATAAATGTTGAATTATTTACAATACAACATGCAATAAAAAAAATACTTTATAATATTTAGAATAATTAATACAATAAAGTATAAGCAGTGATGTGCCTTGGAAGATTGGAAGCATAATTCTCTAATAAATTCATTTGGATTGGAAGCATCCAATCAAATTTATACTATTGGAAGCATAAAATGCACATCACTGAGTATAAGTATTAAATAAAACTAATGTTTATAATTAAAAACATACTTAACAATTTTAAATAAATATTATCTGCTAAAACAAATAATAAAAATTATAAATATTTTATTCTTGCAAGCTTGCAATAAGTTCTTTAAGTTGTCCTTCAAGAGCTTCCCTTTTATTTCTTCATTAAACCATTTTTTTAATCGGATTTAAACATCGGGTGAATTAGGAATTCCACCAAATTGATGAATCGCGATAAAATTCCTTTAACACCTCCAATAATCGGTTTTGTATCAATGTTCGAAGCAGTTGAAGTTGTCGTTGCTTTCATGAATTCTGTAGGAGTTTCAATTGGTTGTTTTTTTAGCAACAGGTTTAGCTGGTATTTCTGGTTTTACTGCGTTGGACTGGTTGAGGTTTTTGTCCCTCCCCATCTTTGGCCTAATTTTTTAAAAGAAATAAATTATTTATTACTAAATTTACTTAAAAAAAAAATATAAAAAAAAAAAATACGATATTAACCGATGCAACGGCCTCTAATAAATTCGCATTTTGACAATAGGAGCTTTCCTATTTCTGATAGTAGGTCTGTCTTTTCCTAAATTGGATAACTTAGGTCCAGACGGCAAAGGTGGAAGTGACCAATAATATCATCGTCCTTTTTGCTTTCAATGACGGTTTTCTAAAACAAAAAAATGCTACTTTTTACTAATCTAATCATGTGATATTTTGAACCAATACCTAAAACCTACAGACCGAAACTTTTAGTGTGAATCACGATAAAATTTTTTGCTTATATTGGTATATAAATAACAAACAAAAAATAATAAATTCGATGACGAATATATTATTGGGCCGGCGTAGCTTAGTGGTAGAGCGTCAGTCTTGTAAACTGAAGGTCGGTGGTTCAATCCCGCCCGTCGGCTTCTTTTTTATTGATAATAAAAAAATTTTTTTATTTTGTCAAAACTTATAATAAATAATAAATAATATTAACGAGTAGAAAAAATATCGCGAAAAAAAAAAAGTTCAGTAATAATGATAATGTATCACGCGATAAAACTAGTTAACCATCATACTTTATTAATGTAATTTTATAATATTCGTGAATTATATATAATAAAGCTTTTTCTTAAAAAATATTTTTGAAAATTGTAATACTATTAACATTATTCATATATTTTAAAGAGAGTATCTAATGATTTTTACAGCGCGAGAAATAAATTAGATAGTAGGATCTGCGGTACCACCAAACTCATTGATATTTGTAATTGTTGTGAGAATTAATCATCATTAACTTGGGTAGATATAATTTTCACATCTTCTTTTGGTCTAAAAAGACAATAATAATGAATCGATGAAGTAAACACTTTTATAAATAATACAAAATGTAATGAATAATTATTAAATACCTATCGTCTCGATCAACGGTAACTTTACCTATACGTTTGACTATCTCGATACCATCACTTACCCTCCCAAATATCGCATGTTTCCCTTTTCAAGAAAAAAAAAAAAATAAACAAAAATTAAACCTTTTATAAAATTATCAAACAAACATTTACCTACCATCTAAATGAGGAGTAGGTGCTAATGTTATGAAAAACTTTTGGGTTTTAATTAGAAGGGTATTTCATAAATATTTATGTTGTAACGACTAATAAATCATAAATTAAAAATCCAAGATCCTCACTTGACTTCCATTTGAATCTGGTCCAGCATTAGCCATGCTAATGATTCCAGCTCCCGTATGTTTTAAATCTGGATGTATTTCATCTTCAAATGTGCGACTAGATATCAGAATATTCGATTAAAAAGAACAAATCAAAAAAAAATATATATATATTTAATTGTCATTTACCCGTAAATTGAACTTCCTCCTCGTCCAGTTCCAGTTGGATCTCCTCCTTGTATCATGAAATCCTTGAAAATAAATCAATTCATCACATGATTTGTATTCAAACGTTATTGATTAACCTTCGATTCGAAAAAATTTAATTTTGAACTTACTTCAATAATTCTATGAAACTTTTTATTTATAAAATAAATTTTAAATAAGATTTCTTAAATGACGAAGGGTAATAAAAAAAAAAATTTAACATACTATGGTATTATTATAGTATCCACGCTTCGCCTAAATATCAAACAAATATTAACTATAATTTCAAACTATTAAAAATAAAAAATTAAAAAAAAACTTACTAGTTCAAAAAAATTATCACAGGTTTTCTTTGCGTGATCATCATACAATTCTATTGTAATTCTTCCCTAATCAGAAAAAATAATCATTAATTATTATAAAAAAAAAATTTTTTTCACACAATAATTAATTTACATACCATAGAAGTATTGAGAATTACTGATCGAGGCATTTTAAAATTTTTTTTTTTAAAAAAAATATTAAATTGATGATCATCCAAAATGGCTCAATTTTCCTAGAAAATCAAATTTACGGTAACACAATCGTGATATATAATTTTGATTGAAAAATTGGTTACGCTAGATTTTAACCAATAAATTTAGTTCACTCATGTTTAAAAAATGAGAACGCCCAATAAAAAGATTAATCCAAAAATGGTATTGTTTTATTTCAATTGCCTTGCTTGATGACTATAATAACATTGTGGTACTTTTTATTCTCAATACATTGTATTTTTATTAAAGTCTTTTCAAGTTTTTGGTATACTTTAACTATTTTTTAGTGCTATAATATCATAATTCATTTTTTCTAATAATCTGAAATTTGAACAAATATTTTAATCAAATACCATTTTGGCTTATTGTATATTCTTTACTTTTTTTAGGTTCAATTCGGCAATTACAGTATAATATAATATCAAAAGAAAAGAATTTTCTTTTTATTTTTATTCTGATAAACCTAAGAGTAATTATACTTTGAAATAAATTAACGTTTAATGTCAAATTCAAGACATTCTTTTTAAAAAAAGATTAATTCATATTATTAACTCCTTATTTCTTCTTCATATAGTTGCTTAAAAAAGTTATATACAACTTCAGTAATATCATTATTTATTATTATCAATCATATTAATCTTTAAAATAATAATATGATCTAAAATTTCTGTTTTAAAACTCATTAATAAATAAAAATATGTGAGTAACCAATTACAATTGTATTAATAATCTTAAAAATTAAAATAAATATTTTTCTCACTAATTTGTTAAATTTGCCAAATAACTTTTAGATAGAGATATAATCTAATCAAATTTAAATAATCCAGATTGTATTCAGTTAAAAAAATAGAATTCAATATGTAGATCCTTATTTACTCAAAAAAAATCAATTCATATATATTATATAGATGATTTAGATTTAAACAGATAATTTATAATTCTCAAATTTTAATCAAATTAATCAGATTTTTAATGCAATACAGATCACAAATAGAACAATAAAAATTTCTATACAAACTTATTTAATATTTAATATAAAATCTTTTTATTTTATTATTTTATTGTAAATTTATAATATTAATTTATGTTTTATTGTTATATTTATTATATTTTATTTATTATATTATATTAATTTTCTTTTGATAAGAATTGTGAATTATATCTAAAATATTATAATTTCTTTTTAAAAATATTATTTTTAAAAAAATTCTAAACTAATACATATATGATTATAAAAATAAAAAAAATAAAAAAAATAAAATTTAAAATTAAAAAAAAAACAGTGTTAAAATAAAAAACTGATCATATTATCTGCAAAATTTATATTATCTATAAAATTTATATCATTCATATTATATAATATAATATAATTTTATTTTAAAAATTCAAAATTCAAAAGTAAAAAAAAATAATTGATAATTATTATAAATTATGATTAATATTCTTATTTATTGTATTCTCTTTGTATAATATTTTTTTATGTAATACTTTTTTTCAAATATAATACTATTTAAAATTAAAATTAAATTTACTTAGATATTAATATCAGTATTATACAGTATATTTTTAAAATTTCGTATATATTTATTATATTATAAAAATAATTTCTTATAAAATATACAGAATTATAATACAAAATTTACAAAAACATATATTTTCTGTATATAAATTCTTATAAGAATATTGATTATAAATATAATTTATTTTTTAATAATTTATATTTTAATAAATTCATATTTACTAATTAATTTTTTATATATATATTTCTATTTTTACATAATTTTACTTTAAATTTTTAGATATAAATATTTTTTTAATTTTTTTATTTATTTTGAATAATAGAATTCTAAATACTTTAAACTTACACATTTATTTTAAGTAATAAAGCTTAATTTATATTAAATATTAGCTAAAAACTTAAATTTTTTTTAATTATAAAGGTATTGATATTCTTATTATGCAGTTTAAATATTATTTATAATAATATTAGCAAATAAGTAACAGTTTTTATAATTACAACAAATCTATTAATTTTTTTATTTTTAATAAAAACTTTTTAATTAATAAAAAAAAATATTAACTTATTAAAAACATATAATTTCATTATAAAATCTTATAATTTTTAATATAATAAAAAAAATAATTCTTTATAAAATATAAGGAAATATAATACAGAATTTAAAATTATATACAAAATAAAAAAATATATATAACTTTTATAGGATATATATTCAAGTTTATTTTTTCATAATTTTCATTAATTTTTTTTTAGTAATATAAGTTATACAAGTATTTTATGATCTCATCTTGATGATTTCTTTTATTAAGCTTTAATATAATTTTATACATATTTGTTAATTATCTTCTTTTTTTCTTTATTCTAAAGTCTTTTAATTATTTTCTTTTTCTGTAACTTTAGTTATTTATTTTCTAGATCTTATAATTAATTTGTGATCTATATTATTCATTATTATTTATTATATGATCTATCATATTTATGTATAATTATATTACTAATTATATGATCTATTTCAAATTGTATTTTCTATTTATTTTTATAATATTTTTGTATTACTTGCTATATGATTTATTATTAATATCAAATAATTTATATTTTATAATATAATTTTAGTTGATTATTTATTCTTTAATATTATATAATTTATTATGTAATAATTAATTTTTCTTTATGCTTATCTATTCAATTATTTATTTTTTAATCTCTTAATATTTTAATTCCTTAATATTATTTTCTTTGTTAAAAAGGGTCACATGATATATTATTTTAAGATTTTTTGACTTTACAGTATATAATATATTAATATATTAATATAACATTCATCAATATTAATTCATTTAAGATAAAATAACTATCATTTGATTTATTTTATTAAGATAAATCTAATAAGCTTTGGTAAAATATTTTCTAATTACTGAACTCAAAAAACTGATTTTTTAATATTTTTAATATAACTTATGATCTGATCTGATTTGATCTATAGTTTGATATCTTAGATCAGATTAAACCATTATCTAATCTGATCCTATTAAAAATTTTAATTAGAATTATAATTATAAATTAGTATTAAAGGATTATATTTTATATAACAAAGTTTTTGTATAAGAAAAATTACTTATAAAATACCAATAGAACTAACATATTATTTATGTAGAAGATTTCATATTAATTAAAATATTTATTATTAATGTAGATATAATAATAAATTACTAGTATTTTTAGAAAGTTTTAATTGAAATACAAATTTTTATTCCTATACTGTAAATTATGCCAAAATGTAAAAAAAAATATATTTATATATAGTAAAATAAACTAATATAAGAGCTATAAAAAGATATAAGATTAATAACTAAATAATTAATTAATAAAATAACAATTATTATATATTAATAATACTATTATTTTTATTTATAATCATAATTACAGTAGTGGTCATAAGTATCCGATCACCTGAGATCATCCAAAATTATTATATAACTACAGTCACACCTCGATATAACGAAGTTGCCGATTCAGCCGATCAGGACTTCATTATAAGAATCTTCGTTAATGCTATAACGAATTATGCGGAATGTATAACGAATAATTCGTTATAGTAGATGATTACTGATTTCATTACACAAATATA